GTTTTTCTGTATATTTGGAGTAATATGACATTTAAATTTCAATTTGCAAGATTTTCGCAACAGCATGATGTGAAGAAAGTCCAATTAATTAGGACTTATACACTTACCTTATCTTTTTCAGTTACACGTGAATGTAGGAACACATTATCTCACTTAAATAAGGTAACGGTATTTTAGATACAAGTCAAATAAATGCAATTGATATGGTAGGCTTGCAAATATAATGTTTCTTTCGTAATTTCGCAATAATTTTCAATTCTTGTGGTAAACCACATATTTCCCCGGTTCAAAGCATGGACCGGGCTTAGCGGACCCGAGTCATTTCAAATTCAAAATTTATTATTACCATCTTAAAAATAATTAAAAAAAAAATCAAGTTGGACCCGTTGGTTTTTAGTACCCAGCTTCTATTTCTCTTCGCCTCGTTGCGGTTTCACCGTAGTAGGCCCCAACAAGCCACCGGGTCATGACTCATAAGAGCATTTTCAATGACACAAATGTATATTTTGAGCATTTGAATAACACAAAAGTATATTTTGAGTTGTATATTGTAAAGAAAGAAAATTAAAATATTGTGTCTAAAATGGTTTAATATTAATTTTGAAATAATTTGATATGCCCAAAATAATAATTAGTTGGTGTAGAGAAAAATAAAAATAAATAATATAATATAGAATAGAAGATGTTTAAAAGTTTTTTTAGATTTCTACATATTTTCTATGTCACACTGAATTTCTGGGGGGCTATGTAGCAATGGAATAGAACAATCCACGAATCATTTTAGAGACCAATGATCTGAAAGCTCGTCATTCATCAAATGAAATGAAACACGGAATGAATAAGAAACTTCAAAATCTAGTCCCCCAACTCACAAGACAAGAAACAACATTTTTTACTTCTCTATTTTATTTCCAAATAAATGCACCCATTGATCATCTATTCACTAGAACATAAAACCATGGAAATTCAAAGCACACATCTCAATTGCATTATAGAAAGGAAAAAGAAAAGAGAGAGAGAAAAAAAAAAAAAAACTTCACTTCTCTCTCCTCTCTACCTCAAAACCTAGACTTAATCTCATCAACCACTTTCTTCCCAACCCTAAAACCCTTCTCAAGAACCATATCCGGCACGGCCGGCTCCGAATCGAACAAGTTCGTCGACACCACCACGGCCCCAGGCAGCTGGCTGTTGAAAGCCGTGACGAGTGTTGCCTTACTCTTCCCGACGTTCATCTGAAAATGCACCGTACCCCTTGGGGCCACAAACATATCCCACTCGCTCAAGTTCTTCATGTACAACTTGTTGTCGGACGAAAGAAACCCGACGAGGACCTTCCCCTTGATGACAACGCCTGTCTCCGTGGCCCGCGGGTGTACGTGGGGCGGGTTGATCCCTCCGACCCGTAGATCGACCCGGTTCATGGATAACCCGAGTGTGTTGAGACCCGGGAAAGAAAGCACGTTGCCCGAGGTAATGTTGCTTCCGAAGGGGTTGCTCGTGTTGCCCTCGTGGGTGAATCCGTGGAAGAAAAAATCATCCGAGGTGACTTTTGAGCGGTTCTTGCACGGGAAGCCATTGATTTGGAATGACGCGGTTGTCGAGGAGGCTACGCAGAAGTCCTGCAACGGGTCTGGGTCGGCTGCTCGATGGGTAGGGGTTTGTGAGAGGATGAGAATTAGGGTTGTGAGGAGTGTGGTGAGAATGGGGGTTGTTGGAGTAGAGTTTTGGGGATTGGTTTTTGGAGCCATGGAGAGTTAGGTTTGTGTGTGTGTGTTTGGTGATTGACTAGTTGAGTTGTGTGATGGATTTGTTGTGTGAGGACACTATTAATTGGAGGAGGGTTTGTGTGGCTTTTATATATGTGGAGGGTGGTTTGTTGGGTATTTATTTTGACTAATCTTAAACTGTGTTACGAAAGTTATAGTATGTCATGATTAGGTGCTACATGAAGAGTAAGGGTGTAAACTGAGTTGAGTCGAGCTCGAGCTTGACTCGATTATCAATATTAATAAGTTGAACTCGAGCTTTAACGAGTTGAATAATAAAATATTATAACAAAACTTCTTCTTATCGAGCTAAGACGAGCTTGTTTATCAAACGATTTCAGCCGAGCTCGAGCAACAACGAGTAGAGCTGGGCTCACGAGCGGTTCGTTTTATTTAACATCTCTACCTGAAAGGCGTAGATGTTGAAGTAAAATGATTTAATGTCTAGACAGGTCGACTCATCATGTCGTTAATTGTTTGAACAAAAAGACATGCTTGTAACATTTTAATTTCGGAGGCGTGCATGTATATTTGTTAGCTCTGACGTCTAAAATAAGGTTAGACGGTGAGGTTTGCGCATAGATCAGATAGGTGAACAGTCTGGTCATTGATATCTTATTGTCATATCTAATGGATTGAGGTTTACACTGTGAACGGGTCTGGCAAAAAATGGTTATATTAATTTAAAGTAATTATTGAGTACATTTTAGAGAAGAAAAATGGAACTTATTTAAATAAAATAATTAAAAAAGGCATACTAAGAAAAGAATTAGGATGGAAAAGGGGTGTTTGGAGTGGGTGGATTTTGAATTTTGATACTATGAAGTCTGAAAAACAGCATAATGAGGAGAAACTGGAAAGTGTAATAAAATAAATAAATAAATAAATAAATAAAGATCAACATGACACTGTAACACGGCCAATATGTATACCCAGTCAAGAATCAAGATTACAATATTTGCTTTTATTGTTTGGTCGTGATTTATGCATCATTTCATTTTCATATCGACATTATTAATTATTATCTATCTATACTTATATAATAAGAATTAACATTTATCTAAAATAGTAGGTCAAATTATGGTCAATGTCGGATTTGCATTAAATATTTTCTAAAACCGGTAAGTTTTTGTTCTTTTCACACTTCTCATTAATTATGTCATTTTCACACTTCTCATTAATTATGTCCTTTTCACACATCTAATTAATTCATTAATTACGACATAATTATCATAAATCATTCCATCTGAGCTTTTATCTAAAATGTATAGCGATCTGTTATGATTAATTACGACATAATTATCATAAATCATTCCATCTGAGCTTTTATCTAAAATGTACAGCAATCTGTTATGACCTTATCCCATTGATATTTCCATGAAACGTCCTTATCGCGTTCTATTTTTTGGTAACCACTCTATATCAATAATTGGATATTTGATTAATGATAGCACACGTCTTTATTTCAAGGAGCGGATATTCTATGGCATTTAATTAATCTGAACTGATTGCCTTGACTTTTCAATTTTTAAGAACTCTTTTTTTAAATATTTCGGCTTAAGATTCGGATTTCATTATACAAGTCATCGGATTGTTTGAATGAAAATGAATGAAGAGAACACCAAAAACAGATAGTCTTATTCATATAACCAATCCTAAAATATTAGTTTGTTCACCAAAAAGAGACAAATCCTAGAAATCTTAAAATATTAGTTTGTTCACCAATCCTAAAATATTAGTTTGTTCACCAAAAATATTAATTTGATTTTTAGGATTTGTCTCTTTTGAAAATATTAGTTTGCCATAATGAGGAGTTACCAAATAATCAAACTCATAATGTTATGTACAAGGAGGTTTTTAATAATATATGATTGTTACCGAACTTTTTATGATTCAACAATGTTCCTATGTATTTTAATGATTACAATTTCGATCCTAATGCACGTGAGGTTATATTATTCTTCTAAACTTTACATCTCGTGCATTGCACGGGTTACGTACTAGTTTAATTTGGTTCATATTCAAACAGTTTCATAAAGAACTTGATAAACATGAGTTTATTATTGTACGAAGACTAAGAAAAAGAAGAATTATTATTATTGAAATGAGTTCATTGTTCATATATAGGGAAATTAAATTAAAACATTTTCTGCTAGCAATCATGCATCATGTAAAATTACGTAACATTATAAAATGAAGTTTTTTACCTCACCCTTCATTTATACTATAACTTGAAAGTGAAAAAGCAAGCGAAAAATTACTTTAATGCAGTAATGAAAGAGTATTGAAGAATCTAGAAACCATCATGTAATCCATGATGAATATTTAAGCTATTGTGCTTTGTGAAAATTTTCAAAATTCATTAATTTCATGTTTGAATTGATGAATTTGTGAAATTCAGAAGGAAAAAGAAAAGCATATTATTATTTTTGCTTGAGAAGCAAGCATATTCATCATGTTGAATATTGGTAGATACGTATCGAGACTTTCACAAATTTGGGGAAGACATTTTAAGTTGAAGCATACGTAATTTACGCATAGGAATTGCGATTTCAAACCAAAAGTGGAAGAGAACGTATGTATACCCCTCTTATGTATAGAATTTTCGGGTTTACGTGTCAAAATTTGTTACGCCGTAATTAATTTACTCGTACTTCATAATCCTATGACAATTTTCTTATTCTACGTGTCAAAATTTTCTCATTTTTTATTTTAAACTTTTAGTATTTACTAATGCTTTATAATTATTTCTATTTGTCAATTTCTTCTTTGCTTTGGATTAATTCCTGCCAATTTGAACTTTTATCCATCCTTATTAAAATTTTTAACTTTATATTGTTTTAATAAATTTTTATTTTTTATCAAGTTTTTATATATGATATATTTATGATCATATTGCATATATATAATGAAAATAATTATATCAATATTTATAAATAAAATAAAAGTTAAAATATCTATCAATCTGAATTAAAAAACAATAAATTTATTAACAATTAAGTTCATGCCAATTATATAATATAAGTTAAAAAAATTATTATAATATAGGACCAATGAGTTTTACGGATGAAAATATGTCATTTTGAATAAAATTATTAACGTAAGTTGTTGAGAATTACTAAATATTTAAAAAATAAAATTTATTTATTATGAATAAATTATTAAATTAACATTTGTATAATAAATATTAGTACTAGGAGAGCATATTCATTTAACAATAACAATTCAGCACCCTAGCAGTGAACTAATGTCATTTCAAGTTAAATATTTTCAGATTACAAATAGATTGATGTACAGCTAGTGAATTCAAATTAGCTGTAAAAGAAGCAATATATCTGAAAACTTTATAATTAGTAGAGATCACGTTTGCAGACATGTATGGAGAAACACAACCTTGTACCTGAAGAAAGAATCAAAAGAAATAGCTGGGATGAGCTAAAATCTTAGGCATATGCTGAAAAACAATATCTATATGCTTGATGAGCTCAAGCTCGAAAAATATTTTATTTATTCACTGAGGTTAAAATGCTTTCTTTTTTCTTCATGGTATATAAATTTTAATTGATGGTGAGTGATGCAAGTCCTATAGCATTTACATTTGATTTGACAAGAAAAACGGTAATTAAGGAGATAAATTAAAATTGAAAAGAAGATTAGATAATTGTAGGAATTAAGGAATGATGAATACCACATCACATGACACATGTTGTGGATTTATATCCAAACTTCTACGCCTGAATATGACGCATATAGCCTTCATATAAACTCATATATGCATGTATATCTATTATCTAGTGAGTATGTGCGACTTCATATACAAAAATCGCAGTTTGAGTATAACTTAGTTGAGCGTTTGCAAATTCAAAAATAATAATAATAAAAATTACATGTTTAGTTAATGCATATAGAAATTACACGTATATAGGAAAATAACAAAAAGCCTAGCATAAGAAGTTATAGTGAGCTCAAGATCAAGTTCAACAACTAACAGCAATATTTAATGTGGACTAAAAAGCCACAATATAAAAGGAGAGAGAGAGAGAGAGAGAGACAGAGAGAGAGAGAAGACGGCAAATTGATTCCGGCAAGACAAGCATGGAGTACCTGAAGTAAAGCATTCGGAATTTGAATAAACCCTTGAAGTAACAGATCAACATCTTCCAGAAACTTCTGTGGAACAGGGTTATAACATGGAGCACCCCACTGAAAGTGTCGATGCCTCTCACTATCCCTGTTTCATACGAGAGAGGAGCTTGAGCTTTCAAAGGAAATAAAACAGAACAACACATGAGCAGCAAACTGTACCTCACCATATTCACCGTAATGCACTGAGGATATACCGTGGTAAAGGTTAACAGAACTTACCCAAGCCAACACATTGAGGAAATCGGTCGGACACTGAACTGACTCCCAGACCAACAATGCTTGCATTCAAACTCACTACAAGAATAATCATTATTAGCGACACTAATTTTAGTGACGACATTAATGTCATGACTATAAAATGATTATTGTGACGATATTCGAACATATAGCGACATTATTAGCGACGGTATTTTTTGTGACGACATTTGAACATATAGCGACAAAAATTTCCGCCACTAAAAATGATTATTCTTGTAGTGACTGTAGAAAGTTTCAGTCTCTGGGACCTAGCCGGAAGACAATTAACATAAAATAAAAAATAAAAAAATAAAAAAAGATCCACAATAAAGTCAAGAAGCAATAGACTGAATAATTTTCAGAGAAATACCAATTCAGTGTTCTTGAAAAAAATGCAAAGATCTGAGTAGCTGAGTCTAACTGGCAGTGAAGGTGTTTGATTTTGATGCTTGATATAGGAACTTCATAAGGAGGGTGAGTGGCCAATGCACGAGCAAGTTCCTTGATCGTGGACACAGTCAAATCGCTTGGGAAGCATTGCCTGAAGTATGCCATTACACGTAGATCACGTAGAAGGCGTGCATCTTTTCGGACCAACACCCTGAACAAGAGATACTTATTAGGGAATGTATGCAAAATGCCACATCATCATAAATGGATTGTCAGAATAAAAACCAGACTCTGAAAACTAAACTGGCAACCTTATGCTGATTACGCATGAAAGGAGAAAAATTATATTGAGTGGAAACAAGTTATATCTGTAATTTGTCTAAGTGGTCTAGTGGAGGTATTCACACAGTTGAGTTATTTGGGTGCAAACCAAAGGCTTCGCAGATGGAAATAGCAAATGCATTTTAAAGTTTACAAGGAGAGTAATGCAACCTTGGGACATGAAATCAAAAGCCACCCAAATGCGTTGAAGTCTTTATAAAAATGACAGAATCAGAAAAATCAAATATTAACAAGAATAACTATTAAGCATACGATCTCTTCAAATAGTCCTGGAGAGCAGCACTGACCTCAATGACAGTCACGGAATCAGCATTCCCCTCATCTAACCAAAATGCCCCAGCTGGTAAATTTTTGCTCTCGGCCGATATTCGAATCTTAACTACATGGGTTGGAGACATTTGTTTTAGCATGTCTACAAGTAGTTCATAACCGATACCTTACACACAAAATAGATAAATGAGCATGTCATTGTGTCACGCCAAAAAAAAAATGATCTTATAACCTATTGCAGGTTCTTGAAAGACAGAGAAATCGAGCAACAATGGACAAACCTTTTACCCACCCAGGGGTATTTATGACAAGTGGCAATCCAACACTTCCCTGAGTTGCTGTGTTGTCACCCGCAGGGGCGGATGGACATTAAGGCGAGCCTGGGCAATTGCCCAGGCTCAATTTTTACTGCTAATTACCATTTATAATAGAATTATTGAGTGAATATACTAAAATGGAGCTTTTGCCCAGGTTCGCAGAGGGCAAGGAAGAAGGTGACTGCAGGTAAGAATTTTCTAATTTTTTGAACATCCCACAAAACGACATCATTTTGGCTTCAATTAATTTTATTAAATTGAAGCCAAAACGACGCCGTTTTGGTCTTCATAAGTTAAAAAAAAATAGAAAATAAAATTTTTATTTCTGCCCATCAAAACCGCAGACTGCAGACACAAAGGAAAACAAAGGGTTTACCTTCACAAGGTCAAGATCCCCATTCCCTAAACCCTAATATCAAATTTGGTCGCCCGCGCCCGTCATCCAATCTCTCGTCTTTATTTTTTTGTCCTTCTTTTGCCAACTATACAGAGGAAAAGAAAAGATATGTTTGTTTGTGTGTGTGTGTGTGTTTATTTGTTTTGAGAATTGGGGGTGTTTTTCGTTTTAGGTTTTTTAGCAAAATAGAATTGGGTTCGATGAATATGATGTGTTTTTTTGCTGTGTGTGAGGGCATATGGCTTTTTGCTTAGATGGGTGATGAATTTGGTACTGCAAGACTGCAAGAGGGCTGGATGGATTGCTGTTTTAGGGTAGTTTTTTTTTTTTTTTTATTTTTTAATGTTTTGCTGTTTTAAATTAAATAATAAGACTCTTGCAAAGAAGTTAGCTGACAGGCTGGAATTTGATGTGTGTTGTAATTCTTTACTCTTTAACCTTTGATGTTTTTGCTCTAGCACTTTCTTTCTCTAGATGTGAATTTGTATATTTCAATTAGTATCTTTTCTCATAGTCTGTTTTGTAGAAGCTTAGCAGACTGTTTTGAAGATGTGGGCCATGTGGCTGATGTAGTCCTTTCTGAACTTGCTATCATTTGTAGCACAGCTTGTATATTTTTGAGTTTTATGAAATTTCTCATTGTGGATGGAAAAAAAAAATATATGAAAGTTGCACTTGTAATATGTTTGTGTGTGTGTTTTCTATTGTAGCATAATTGAATTGGGTTGGATGAAAGTTACAATTTTGATATGAGAAATATGGATTGGAGAATATAGATTTATATTTATTATTATTTTAATCTTGATTCTTCCGGTTTTTGTTAATCAAGCGTACATAGAATCGAAAAGAAAATCACTTTGCAAGGAGCTATGAAAGGAATAAACAAAGATTAGAAATTGAATTTGTAGAATTGAAATTGCTAATTAAAATAAATGATATGGCGAGCTTCAAATTACAATTGAGTTTTCTTATTTTGTAGAATTCTTATGTTGATTGAAATCAATTTTTGCTTGCAGAGTTACAATAATGGAGAAGTACTATCGAAAAGTAGCAAATATTGAGGAACCTTCAACTCTTTTGTCATCTAATAAGAAGAGTAAGCTCGATAATCAAAATCGAAAGAGCATCGATCTTGGCGAAAATTCAAAGAGCACCGAACTTGGCGAACTTTTGGAAAATCTCCCCTCAGATCCGGCACACCGGAAGCGTATCTTAGATTATGATCCAAATATTCGCGATCAAGTTAGACGACATTATCTACTCAAGGGCCCTTGTCAACCTCGAAGCCATAAGTTTCCTCAGCGAGATATCTACGGGACTAAGCGCAGGTTTAATTCTTCTTGGTTCGATGATCATATTGAGTGGTTAGAGTATAGCATAGAGAAAGATGCTTTATTTTGCCTTTGTTGTTATCTCTTTAAACCGGAACATGGTGACCAAGGGGGTAGCGATACGTTCACAGCTACAGGTTATAATAATTGGAAAAATAAACAAGGAGTCAAAGATCATGTCGGCACTGTGGGTAGTGTTCATCATCGTGCTCTGTTAAATTGTCAGGCTTTAATGAATCAGAAACAACACCTCGAGTCACTTATTAGTCGCCAAGTGGAAGTCTCGAAACAGAATTATTATACTCTCTTGAATGCTTCAATTGATTGTGTTCGTTTCTTGTTACGACAAGGTCTTGCTTTTCGTGGTCATGATGAATCCGAATTTTCAAAAAATAAAGGAAACTTTCTTGAACTTTTGGAGTTTCTTGCTCAACATAATGATAGTGTTAAGGCTGTCGCCTTTGAAAATGCACCCAGAAATCTTCAGTTGAAGTCACCTAGTATACAAAAAGACATTATAAATGCAGCTGCTGTTGAAACTGTTAATGCAATTATGTGTCAAGTGGGTGATGCTCCCTTTTCTATTTTGGTTGATGAAGCCCGAGATCATTCGGTAAAAGAGCAAATGGCGGTGGTTCTACGGTTTGTTGATACTAAAGGTGAAGTAATTGAAAGATTTGTGGGCATTGAACACGTTAAAAGTACTGATGCATATTCTTTAAAACTTGCGATTGATGAGCTATTTTCTAGAAATGGGTTGAGCATATCAAATCTTCGAGGCCAAGGCTATGACGGGGCGAGTAATATGCGAGGCGAGTTTAATGGTCTCAAGGCACTAATTTTGAAAGAAAATAGTTGTGCCTTTTATGTTCATTGTTTTGCCCATCAACTTCAACTTGCACTTGTTGCTTTAGCTAAAAATCATGTCGGGGTTGCTTCTTTTTTTTTCATGGTGACAAGAGTCCTCAACCTTGTTGGAGCATCTTGTAAACGTCGTGATCTTATTCGGGAGCAAAGACAAAATGAACTAATAGAAGCTCTCTACAATGATGAGCTCCCAAGTGGAAGAGGACTAAACCAAGAAACCGCTCTCAAACGTCCAGGTGACACACGTTGGGGTTCCCATTATAATACTTTGTTGAGCATTATCTCTATGTTCTCATCTATTATTAAAGTTATTGAAATGATAATCGAGGATGGGATTAGTGCTGATCAAAGAGGAGAATGCAATTTGTTGCTTGTACAGATGCAATCTTTTGATTTTGTATTTTGTCTTTTTCTAATGAGACAAATTTTAGGTGTAACGAATGAGTTGTCACTAGCACTGCAGAGGAATGATCAGGATATTGTCAATGCTATGGATTTGGTTAGGGAAAGTAAGCAACAACTCCAAAGAATGAGAGAGGAAGAATGTGAATGGGAGAATTTGTTGCAGAAGGTAAATTCTTTTTGTAATAAGCATGACATTAATATTCCGGACATGGATGCTATGTTTGTTGCTCAGGGAAAATCTCAGCGTAGGGCTGAGAAGTTAACGGTCTTACAACATTATCGAGTGGATGTCTTTTACTCAGTGATTGATAGACAACTTTCAGATTTGAACGACCGTTTTAATGAGGTAAACACCGAGCTTCTCATTTGTGTTGCAAGCTTGACTCCGGATGATTCATTTTCTGCTTTCGACAAGCAAAAGTTACTCCGCCTTGCTAAATTCTATCCGAGAGATTTTTCTGAAAGAGATGTGTTAGCACTTGAAGACAAGCTTGATATCTACATCACTGATATGCGAACGAATACTAATTTTTCTCAACTTAAGGGGCTCGGTGGTCTTGCAAAAAAAAAAATGGTGGAAACAAGAAAGCACCTAACTTATGCATCGATCTACAAGCTTCTAAATTTGGCTTTAGTTCTTCCGGTTGCTACAGCTTCAGTGGAGAGAGTATTTTCGGCTATGAATCTTGTGAAGAATCCACTCCGCAATAGAATGGGAGATCAATGGATGAATGACAGTTTACTTGTTTATATTGAGAAAGATGTATTTAATAGCATTAGCAATGATGCTATAATGCATCGATTTCAAAATATGAAATCGCGCCGTGGACAGTTACCTTCCTATCATTGACTAAAAGATTGTATTTTTTTTTTTTTGATTGAAGTGATTTTTTTAAAAAAATTTAAGTATTTAATTTTTCATCTTGCCCTGGCTGCGAAAAAATTCTGTATCCGCCGCTGGTCACCCGTGCAGTATTCTTTCATATAATACTCATACAAGGCCAATATATAAGTCAAATAGATGGTTGGGTCCCTTTTCGAAGAGATATCACCAAAGAAAAATCATCTGAAATGATATAGGAAAGTATATATAGCTCATGAAAGTTCCATTTCATGAATTGGGTCAGGAATGTTAGCTTGCAGGGGTAAAAATAAGTGATATTCATGCTGTCTGATCTAGTTTTGTGAGATTTAAGCTGTCAGGCACCAACAAAATGAATGTTCACAGCCATCTTCTAAAACCAGACCAGACAGATTGGTCCACAGGGTTTGGCTGCTGGTCCAGTACAATCATCATCTACTATATGTCTATAACCCCTACTTCTACAGCCTCTTTAAGCAACAACAACAACAACATATCCAGTATATTCCCAACAGGTTGGGGTCTGGGGGGTCAGTTGTACGCAGACCTTACCCTTGTAATTATACAAGGAGGCTGTTTCCGTAGCGACCCAAGGTGCATTGCGCCGTTTGATATATATTTTTTCTTTTTTCTAGAAACTTCACTAATAGAAGAAGCACTAGAATTTAATTGAGCCATTTTGATCTAGTCCATTATTAGCACTATGCCAGGAGAATTGTCAACAATGACTCTTCCAACTCCATTTGCAATGGACAACTACAGCCTCTTTAAGAATTTCCAATTTTAATTACTTTTATGACAAATGATACCTTAGAATCGCTTCTTAATTTATATACTTTTTTTTAACTAATATACTTGTATATATACCAACACACACAAACACATTCTATTTCCTGCACATTCAGATATTTTGACACGTTTAAAAATCGAGTACATAACATCATTTTTTAGTTTATACTTTATATAATAAATTAACATAAAAATAATTAGTTTTTTATAGACATTTGAACTGCTCAGTAATAACAATTCTGGTTTTGCTCACCACTTAGACGTTGAAATATGGGTCGCAATTATTAAAAAAAATATTAACAACAACTCCAGTAGGAAATTAGTATGACTTTTCTCTACGTCCTCCCCTCTCAGTAACAAGATCACAAGTTTCAACACATTAGCCATACCAGTCATGCAGGTAATGAATTGGCAGCTGATAGATAGAAGCAAAATATATATACTAATCTGTTAACTGTTGGTATAAATTCCATCAGTAAATAATGACGACATAGATGTGCAAAGAGTAAGAGATCTATCACCAATGATTATTACAGTAATATGCCACTGAACACAATAGTGCACATAGCACGGATGCCATTTCACATGCAAACCAAAAATCATTTGCATTTCAAACTTTCATATTCATTCTGTTTGCCTTCCAAAAAAATAACAATAAATAAATACAAACAGGGATATCTGATGCCACATAACACGATCAAGATAAGTTGTGAATTGCATACCTCTCAGGAGTTTTCAAGCACGGAATTGTCAGATCTAAATAACAGGAAGATACCATCAGGACAACACTACACCAGTAACTAGGTGATTTCTTGATCCAAAATCAACAAAAAACCCGCCTAATCAAATAATATACCTGGCGGTATTTTGTCGATGACAGTAAGAGACGGGAGACCAGGAGGAGTAAACTCTGTCTGTCCAACATCAGTATCGAGGTAGGGCACTCTTTTGTGCCTGAAATCAAGATCTCATCAGTTTGAGCATGTTCTCCTGGTTAATGAAAAATACCCACCGTAGATGATTTATGCATTTACAGATCTTAACCCCATACTCCCACATCATCATTTCTATCAAACCACACCTCTTATTTCATGTGAATGATTATGAGTTCTTCACTATTCCAGGCAGCACACTTAAAAACCTTACAGAAATAAACCACATTCCGCATATAGTTTATCTGCACCAAGCTCTGCATGTGTGCATATATGCTAACAGATATATGTCCATGCTTCGTTCATTCATATGAAACTTCACGTTCAGCAAATAACATTCTTCTTCGCCTTAACTAATTCATCAAGCTACAATTGCAAATTACAAATCGCAACTAAACATTTCCACCAACTACTCTATCAAATAATCTACTTAACAAGAGCACCAAATACAAACTTGATTCAAGTACTATTTTCGAAAATGATCACACGGAGACATGCTGATAGCCGAGGCTCATCTGCCCATGTGCTCACAGGTAAAATTTTCAACCGATAGCAATTTTCCAAACTCCCCATCAGATTACTTCAGCTATCCACAAAAAATTAAACAAACAGAAGGATAACAACACTTCCCCAAAATCCAAGCAAATAGACTTGAAATCCCACATAAAGATGGCACAAGCAAACAAAAATAATAACGAACAATGTATTATAAGGCTATAAGCACCACGAACTAGTTTAGGTTCCATAAACTACCTCTGAAGAAGAACGTTGACGATGTGTCGGGAGAAAGTGGTTTTGCCGCTGTTCTTAGGTCCACAGACCAAAATAATCGGAAAAGCAACGGCGTCATAGGCTATGGCCTCAGCTGCATCGGACCATTCGTCAGGTATAATGGTTTTTGGTAATGAGCTCTCGTTTTCCGAAACTGCCGCCATATTTGAAGGGAAACGATTATTCACTTTCTTCACAATCTATCTATTCGGTTTTGCTATCCTTCGGTTCTTCAGTGAATTCTTGCAGCGGCGGTTGTGTTTTGAGGTGGTGGTTTTGGGTTGGGGCAGTTGAAGGTGGCACGCCGCCGGCGTGTGTCCTGCTATCTTTTTGTGGGGGAATACGTTTCATTTCGTTTTAGATTTTTTTACTATGCACTCTTCCGAATATTTTATGTACATGAAATACCAACAACTTTCTCTAACACTGTAATTTCACTTTATTTTGATATCTCAAATATATTTTTAATTATTTATATTTAATACCCAATATTTTGGTATTTTAAATTTTTTTCGTCTTAAACCATATTTAATATAATATAGTCATAATTGTTCAATCAGAATCACACCAAGTACCACGAGGTCGACTTAGAGGCTAAAAGGTCTATCTCCTAAAATGACCTGAGGATTGGACACACGGGACGACCTAAAGGTCTTGGAAGAGGCCCCAACGCGACATGGAGACCTCGGACGACCTAGAGTCCCTTGGACAACCTAAAACGCCTAATGAATGCAAGACAGCTCGACTAAGATGGTCGAGATTCGGGATAGATGACTTGAGGAAAGGTGACGACCAATAAGCACGACAAACCGACTTACAATAGATAAGAATGAATCTTATGAAGATAAGAAAGAATCTAATGGTAACTAGAACATGATTAAGATAAAGATAAGCACTAATCAGATAAGATCAAATATGGGCAGTCGGGCAGGTATTCCCCTATAAAAAGGGTTGGGGTACATCCAAAACAACTCTACAATTTGAATACATTACATAAAATTCTTTTATTTTAGAACACTCATCATATTCTTCGTATGTGCTAACTTGGACGTCAGAGTGTTTGAGAGACCCTCTCAGCCCATTTTGCAGGTCATTTCGTAGCAGCTCAAGTGGATTGGAGCTCATACTCAACCAGTTCAACCTTGATTCTAACCTCATGCTCATCATTTGACGCCGTCTGTGGAGAGCTTTGAAAGGAACTAAGAGCTCTCTACCTAGTTTTCGATCACCTGACATGGCTGAAAGAGAAGGGATACAAAGAAACTTGAAGGGGGAGTTTAGGAAGGCTTGCACTGACAGACGCTCTCCTCTGGCACCAAGTCCAAAGCCAAGCATCTCCATGTTGAGATTGCCGCGGATGGGTAATCACGCGTCGTCGTTTGGTCTCAGCTCAAATGAGCTATCAACACATGAGGAAAGGAAGAGTCAGTTGTTAGTATCAGGTGGAACCAATGGAGCTCCGCTGGTTACTCCCACTGGTGAAGGACAGAGAATTAAAAAGGCAGAAAACGAGTTGAAGGAAATAAAATCAATGGGGAAGAGGTCGCTGTCCAACCCCAACGAGCTTAGAAGCGAACGGTGACTCTCATGATAGCCGACTTGCAGAATATGATTACATAAGTTGGATTAAGGACAGAACACACATCCCAATAGCTCGCATGACACTACCTACAAGAAGAGAGAGGATGAAGAGTTGTTTATGATGACTATGACATGTACACAGCCAATGAGAGATGACGCATTGGAGAAACTGATAGCTTAAATTCGCGGCATACAGGCTAAGCTTGAGGGAATAAACAGTGCTAACACTTGAGGTCGCCCTTTCTCAAAGGAGATTCTCGAGGCCAACCTACCCTAGGGATTCAGGGAGCTCAACTTGATGTATGGCGGATCTGCAAACCCGACAAGACACCAAAGAAGTTTTGAAAATATGGTCGTGTTGTATAGGTATAGTGACCCGGTTCGGTGCATGGCGTTATTAGCTACACTACGATGGATACGCGATTGCATCATATTCGAGGGCGAACCTTTTTCGTGAGTAGAAGAATGATGAAACGAGATTGCATCAGACACGATAGCGGATCTTTTTCGGGAGGGGGAGAATGATGGAGACGGGATTGCGTTGGCTTTTTTGGACAAGCATGATTATTTAGCATCATTGGTTTAGTTATTTATTTCTTTTGCTTTAACTATTTATCTTTGTGTTTTAATATTTATTAAGGACATCATAAATTTGTTAATAAACTTATTTATATTATTATAGTTTTTTACTTGTTAGACAATATATTTACTTAGGATTATGAGTTATATTTAAAGATTCATCTTCTATTGTTTTAGTTGGTTGATTTTGATTGAACGAAAAATATATACACGGCTTTTCAATAAATACAGAGTTTTTCTTAATTCTCTCGTGCATTTACGTCTTCATTACGCTAATTTATCTATAAAATATGTTGTTCTGAAAAAGAAAAAAAGACTTAGTAAATCTTGTCTGAACCATATCTAAGACTTTCCAACATCATCCATGGACCAACCTTTATACCAAATATATAATACAATATATTGTATTTTTAAGTATGCATGTTTTGTTAAGTATTTTTAAGTATTTTTAAGTATGCATGTTTTGTTCGATTGTTATACTCTTATGTATATTAACAAACTCAACTCAAAGGTTACACTTCTATACATATTAATTTATTATTTTCACTTTTGTCATCACAAAAAAATTGTTATATTCTAACGGAAAATCCTATGGTAATATATTCTAATGGAAACTAGTGCAGAGCCCGTGCGATGCACGTGGTGTACAATTTTAAGACTATTTATTCAGGCTTATAATTATATACATGAATAAAGAAAAATGTACGGGATATATATAGTACGTGACTCGTGCGAGACGCGAAATATATTTATTTGGGTAATATTATATTATAAGATGCAATATTAACTAAAATTTTATAATACGTAGGAAAATTGTACAATAAGAAGTATTGGATGAAAGACCTATTAACTTGTTTGATTAAGCTAAATTCTTGATTCATTATTTTGAATGAAATACTGATTGGGGATATTTTTTTTCTTAGGAGGTTGAAGTGAGGAAGACGATGACTCAATATTTTGAGATTTATAATTTATAATTAGTAGAGTAGAATCAATATCTGTTAAGATTTTTAAGAAAAAATCTTGATATATGGAAATCACTTAGATCAGATTTTCTATACAATTAGATAAGATTTTTTGTACAAAGATAAGAAGGAATTTTAAATCTACACAAACTATAAATATTAGATGTATTGATTTACGTAAATCAATATCTATATAGACAACTAAACTCTTGATATCTGATTTATTTTTTGTAAAATCAAGATTTTATCTTCCGATCAAATATGCCTTTTTTTTTACGTACATTTATTTTGTATCGATTCTATGGGAAAAAACAATTAAATAAAAATTAATTGATAGAAATTAAATGCATTAATTACTTTTGACTTTTCTTTCTACTAATTCTAATAAATGAGATGGCTCTTTATATAAGTATAAATTAAATATTCGTAAAATCGGTATTCAATGTATGTTGTAATGTATGAATAAGTAATATGTATTGTGATAGCTAATAATTGAAATAAACTAAAAAAATATATAAAAATAAGTAATATTCCAATATACTATTAAAAATTTCGAACCAAGTTCTCAAATAATAATACTTGCAAGCGTTCATTTGCAGCTCTAATGCTGTTTATTCTACTCAATGAAATGAAAAACAACAGCTACACAATGCGGCTGCTAAAAATTAAAAAAACAAACTAAAACTATAACCTAAATTATTTTAAAATAAGATAGCAATCATAAGAATTCAGTTAATCTTGTTTATAATTTTTATTTGTATAATAATCATTATATTTATTGTTGTAAAATAGATATCTGTTAGGAGTGCTATTCAAAATCATACGGGATCAAATTATTAGGTCCGAGTTTGAAGGCCAACATAGCAATTAAAGAGTCTGGTGAATCAAATACTTCTTTAGAATTTTTATTTGTAAAATAATCTTTATCTTTATATTTGTAAAATAAATATATTTTAGGATAGCTATTCAAAATCATACGGGATCAAATTGTTAGGTCTGAGTTTGAAGGCCAACAGATTAATAATGTCCGAAAATCTATATTTAGTAGGCATTAAATGTATTTGGCGGGAAATAACTGCTAAAATTGTTAAATGGTTAATATTTTTATATAATGATAGATTCCAACAGATATTCCAATGGTATAGATTCCGTTGGAATCATTCCAACGAAAATATTCCGTTGGAATGTATTTTTCATTGGAATTTTAGATGGAATTTGTTGATTCCAACGGCTTTTGACCTTAGGAATTTCCGTTGGAATATACAATTTCCGTTGGAATTTTTATTTTCACCACCGTTGGAATTGTCAAAATCCAACGGAAATTCCAATGGAAAACTCACTCCAACGGAATATTTTTGTTGGAATTTCCGTTGGAATAATTCCAACGGAAATAATAGCATTGAAATATCCATTGGAATTGCCGTTGGAATTCTATTAGAGTATATTTCCGTTGGAATTTCATCATTTTTTTGTAGTGTGTGTATACTATCAACTCAATTGTTACACTTCTGTTCTCTTGTTAATTTATTAATTATGAAATGTTTGATGCATATGTAAATAAATACATGTAAGCCTTCTGCATAATCTAGTTTATAATTTTTTTTGTTTAGTTTATAAGTTTTTTGTATTTAAATAAATTTGGTTTGAGAGTTTTTTTAAAAAAATCTGAGCTTATCTCGTAAGCTTATTTGGGTAGATTTTCAGATAACTCCATTGGAATTCTTATTTGACTTAACAACTAATTTTACCAAACACTTTTATTCAGCGAGTTTTTCAAACATAAGCTATCAGTTATAAACTCAAAATTCATTTAAAAGCTATTAACTGATATTATCATACCAGGTAGCTTTTAAGCCAAAAAAAGAATCCGCTAGAAACTCAAAATTCATTTATAAGCTATTTGCTAATGTATCAACTACCAGTTAACTTATGCTAGTTTTACCAAACATATCATAATATATATTTGAACTAAACCTATATATATATATTTTCAAGAACGATAGAAATACTCATTAAAACAACGAAACAAACACAAAGTTTGAATACCACCGGAACAAGACCGGAGCCGAAACTCAAGGAGAGCCACACACAGGTGGCCTAAAAACACAACCGGCAAGATCAAAGGCAGAAAACAACACACTGAGCCCTTTAATCTTACAAACCGAAATAAAATAAAAAAACAACTAGAAGAGTATCACTGATCAAAGATCCTAGCCCATCAACTAGCTCAAGACAAGACAATAAAACCGAGGCCTAGTGAACTTGAATCGCTAAGAATTTTGTCCATTCATGGACAACAACCTAAGCAATAAAAGGAACCGGCCTCCACAAGCTCTCAAATTGCTACAGATTACGCGATTTCTAAAGCAACCAGAAGATATACGTAGATAGTTGAATTCTGACCTCGAGAGTCTGATCTTCACCACCTTCATTTTCGCACGTTGACATGGCCAGGGTTGGTCCGGAACCTGCTCGTATATACGGGTCATTGAACGAACCGTGCTACAAACGGGCCAATTTTGGATCTTAATTTTTTATTTACCCATTTCGGGCCAACTTCGAGCTAACGTTCATTTCTTGAATCGCCGGGTCGGTGAATCCTTACCTACATCCGGGCCGATTCCAGGTACCTATTTTCAGGCCCGACGACCCGACGGGCCGAACCGGCCGGATCCAGACCCGGCCCTCCAAATGGCCACCTATATTCGCACGCCCGATCCCAATAAGAACCAGCAGCCCATTTGCAAACCAGCTGAAGTTTTAAATAAAAGAATTATACAGATACACTTGTTTGGAAACACTTATTGAGAAGTCCATTTCAAGATCCACTTTTTGAAAAGTGACTTCTCAAGAAGTTTTCAATATAAACTTCTTTGAAATAGATTTTTTTTTGGAGCTACTTTTTTAAAAGTCTATTTTGTTATCTACACCAAATATTTTTTTATATAGTAAATGAACTTTTATAGTTAAAAGTCCATTACAAAACTGCATCCAAATATAAAATATTGACACAGAATGGACTTGCTACCAGATAGACACACAAATTGAAGGAGCTTGACCATTGCTTACATTCTGCCATTATAATTCAAATTCGCACAACTCTGTTGTCTTCTCTCTGCATCTATCTGCCAATCCTCGTTTGGTTAGTGGGAGATTGTTCGAGAAAGAGAGATGGAGCTGCAGAACACTGTGAAGGAAGCCCTAAACGCGCTTTACCACCACCCGGACGACGCCGTACGGATGCAGGCAGATCGCTGGCTTCAAGATTTTCAGCGCACGATTGACGCTTGGCAGGTGAGTTTCTCAGTTTCAGTCTGATAGCTATGGGTTTTTTCAACTTTTTTTTTTTGGATTTTGGTGTCTTTTTCCTGTTTGCTACTTGTATTGGAGATTCGAAGTGTTGGTTGGAGTGGTCGAAAGTTTGGATTTTTAGATATTATTATTTTATTTTATTTTTTGGATTCTTTCATGAACTAGACACGGATTCAGTTGAATTGTGACGGGGGGTTTTGGCAAAAAGATGAGATTTTTCATTTTTTTTTTTGCAATAAGTAGATGGTTACTAACGAGATTTCTAATTTGATCGAGATTGTTGTTTGTGACTAGTTAGTGGTAATTACTTCAAGACAGGCCTTCATTAATTTAGGCTGAATAGTATCCTCGGTTATATGTATAGATAAAGTCGGTTATGGCTCCTGTATGATAGTTGGTTTTGTGTGATAGTGCATCGATGGCATGATTCTGTTCCACTTAATTAGTGGGAGTTGTGATTTTTCCATGCTGATCATTGTTGACCGCCTGGAATGTGTATTGTTCTGATGCTGTTTGATTGGATGCGTGTACATGTTAGAATGTGCTCCTCATACGTACACTGCGTGTCTTCAGTGTGTTGAATTTGAAGAAAAGGGGGAGAATAACCTGCATTTGCCACATCGACAGTTTTTTTGTTGGACTTAAAAGTCTCAGATGCTTTGATAAGCTACTAGTTGTTCTTCTAATGTAATGGAGCTGCATTTCTGAACGTTCTATCTTTTAGGATTGATTTTTTAGGAACCCAGACAGTGGATGTTGTAAAGTTACAATCTTATAAATTCTGTATAAATTGGTTCAAATTGCAACATGTTATGAATGCTCAAGCTTCGTGCAAGTTATATGAGAGCAAAGTTGCATCTTAATGTTTATAGTTTTATCGTCAAGTTTAGTATATTGACCAGTAGCAGTACGGAATAGAGTGTAATGCAGATTATGTAAATTACCTCAACTATTCTTCTTCGACGTAGTTCGTCTCTCTTTCTCTTCCTTTATTTTTGTAACTTGCTCTACATTGTTCGTTTGATTTATATCGTTGTTTGGCCACAATCCACATTCAGTGTCCTTGATTGTATTCCGCTCAAGTAGTATTGTTACTTTCTCATCTTCTAGTAAATTTTGCTATGGTAGCTTTAACTGTGAACAAGGTTCAGCTTGTATTGATTGCTAACTGCAGTTTGTTTTTTGAAATATTATGAAACAATTATGCTTGAGATTGGAGTGAAAGGTCTAATGGCAGAATTTCAAAGAAAATAAATGATGTGGTTTCTCTTATTGCTACTTCCACTCCTATGGAGTTGATAAACAGGAATAAAATGATCAACTGCTCTGCTTATTCACAACATAGTTTTGATTGCAGTAACTGCACCTTAGCACCTTAGAAGGTCATTGAAAAAAGTAACTCTAAAATCACAAGTCACAACAGTATCTGTTAATATATTTATTTATTTATTTATTTATTTTCTGTTTAATGATCTATAGCTATGGAATGAGATTGGATTTGGAGTGATCTATAGCTATGGAATGAGATTGGATTTGGAGTGGGTCTGTGGATAGAGTATTGTTTCTTCCTGGCCTTTTCATTGTAAAAAATTTAGGACTCCTCAGGCTGTACTTATTTTAATTTTTTCCCTCAGGAATCTCGATGCTTCCTCTCTTATTTTTTTTTTTTGTAAGCTTGTTTTTAAATTAATCTATCATTCTTACATTTCTTAATTTACTGTAACATACGTAATTTTAGGCAGAGTTTGATGCTTGGTGAAATTAAGTTGTGGTGTAATGTTTACAGCAACCAGATGACTAAGAATAGAATTATTTTGAAAGTGAAACAACAAAAGGCTTTATAGGCTGGGATTAAATATTTGTTTAACTGCAGTATATGTTTGCATTGTAATTGCACAAATTAGCTTATGCTTTTGAACTGTTTATTTCAACGAACTCCACATTTAAAAGGTACAAAAATTGTTATAATGTTTTGGCTGGAAACCAGAGGTGGTGCTTAGTCTTTTATATTTTTCCTATTAAATTTTAACCCTTCCCCNAAACCAACCAAAAAAAAAAAAAAACATCGATGATTCACCAATCCTTGAACCAAATTATCCCCTTAAAATGATTTAATGACTGAACTAGAACTGGTTCATGCTACATTGAATTTACTACAAGTCTTATTTACTCTATAGTTCATTAGTGATAATATACCACTGATAGGCTGCAGTTTCTCACTTTATTTGGCTGCACATTCATGCATTTTATTTGTTTCTTGGTCAATATTAATTATTCGATTGTCATCTTACTATAATAGCTAAAATTATGCTTAGCTGTATAACATGTGATGTTGCTCCAAAAACAGTATTTCTTCTATCATATTTCTCTTATATATATATGTGTTGGGCGTGATAGTGCACAAACTAGTTAAGTTCTTAAAATGTATGTGTACGGTCCATTATCAGTAAGCAATTCAAAGTATTTTAGGTATATTCATATTTCATAGAGAAAAGAAAAGTGAATGGGACATTCTAGAATAGCCCTTCCTTGTTATTCTCTACCATGATTGTGTATTTCTTCCAGGGTGATTGTTAGAGACCGTTATCTTATAATGATATTATCTAGAATAAATTAGTGGGCTTCGAGTCTGTAGGGTTAAGGTGCCCATTATGGTTATTTTGATAGGGTAGTATTCTATTTAAGCGAGTCCTTACTCCTTAGTTTTTTTGTATGGGTTAGTAGAATTATTATTGTTTGTTGCCTTTTACCCCAATCAATGATCTATAACTTGCAAGCGATATTTCTCCCCACATTTCTGTTTTTTGTAATTCTCCTGATTGCATATTTGTTTTGGTTAGGTGGCAGATAATTTGCTTCATGATTCTGCTAGCAATATAGAAACTTTGATATTCTGCTCTCAAACTCTTAGGAGCAAGGTATGATTCTCTTTCTATTTAATTTGTCCGTGGGGCTAAAATTGCATTGTCTTATTTAATTTATCACTGCTCTTAATATTCATTTCCTTATATCTCCTTTTTGGGTGTAAACAGGTGCAGCGTGATTATGAAGAATTACCTTCTGAGGCATTTCGTTCATTACGGGTTTCTTTAAATGTGAGAACTAACAGTATCTCGAGGATCTCTGACATAACAGCAATGCATATATATGCCACATTAACCTTTTCTAGCATGATGTGACAATTATGTAATGGAATACTCTAATACAAAATATTTGAGTATTGGGTGTTTCATTTCCAATTATGTTATGTTTCATGTTCATTGTAAGCTTTTTAGTAGTCTTCCCAGAAGAATTATGGTGGAATGCATTCTTGTTTGCCTACAAACTAGTAAACGTATTTTTTAAGTTGTACACTTAGCTTTGTTCATTTATTGATTTTGAGTGGTTGCAATTAGGAGATTCCGTGGAGAAAGATATTGTATGTGAATGAGCATCGAAATGTTGAGAAAAATGTGCTTGTATTTCCTGTTACGACTTTCTGGATTAGTGTGCTGATACTCCGATGCATGTGAAATGTGTTGTGCGGAGGACTTGAATAAATTTTTCTGTAGGTGATATTGATTTGAGATGACCTTGGACAATTGGCTATAGATAATAGTTTTGTACTTTTAGACGTTAGATTAAGACAATGCCATAGGGGATACATTCTTGTACATAGTTCATGGATATTCTCTTCGTGGTGGTCGTATTATGTACGCATTTGATGTTGTTCTCTTTGTTTGTATATTTTGTTTTTGAGGTTTCCTGGAATGGATGCACTCATGCACTATTGCATGGTAAAATGATGTATTTAATAAATGCTTCTCTCGTCTTTTGAACTTTCATGTGTTATTTGTGCAGACGTTGCTGAAGTCATTACACAAGGGACCTCCTAAAGTTCGAACACAGGTATAGCTGGCAAACAAATTTATATCTTTTTATCTTTATACGAAGATGGCTAAGTGTCGCGTTATATAGATTAGTCTTGCAGTGGCTGCATTGGCTGTCCATGTGCCAGCTGAAGAATGGGGTGATGGTGGTATTGTAAATTGGATAAGAGATGAGATGAATTCACATCCTGAATGTCTACCAAGTTTTCTGGAACTACTCAGAGTCTTACCCGAGGTATATGGATCTCCGATTTCCAGAAACCATTTTCTCGCTCTCTCACTCGCTCATTCCCCTAGCCACTTGTGTACACTTAACACATTCATGCAAGCTATAGCCCGGATTGAAAGGTGATTTTTCACATGAAAATCACTCACACATGTACTGTTGCCGCACAGTAGGAACGGATGGTTGGTGGATCTTTTGACATGTTATATCCCATATTTCTTTTAGTTCAACAGTCAATATCCAAATTTTTATTTAAAGACATAAAAAGTCCATGGTAGTCAGCTTAGCTTGGGGTCACAAGTTCCTGAATTATTTATACGGTTTCTTATAGAAAAACTGCATCTTGGCTAGTTTTCAGCTTTTTCTGGTTCATTTTATTAGAGCATGCTTGGTTCATTATATCTGAAATGGTTACATGCTTCAAGATCATTTTGACCTGTTTATCAGCTCCTATGCTGATCTTGATAAAGACTTAAATGTTTTATCAGGCTTCCTATGCTGATCTTGATAAAGACTTAAATGTTCTGTCTCATCCAATTACGATCAGCTCAAGCTCACATCAGGATATTTATAGTTTGTTAGTAATCAATCTAGTGAAACGTGAGCTTGAAAGTTGTAGGCCATGCCTTATTACTGCTCTGTGATGGATTTGCTATATGTATCTACTTGCATGCTAGTGAGGTTTTGGTGTAGAATAGTATTATTATTATTATTAGGATTAATTATTATTAATTATTTTTTATTTATTTGGCTTGGTGGGCAAGTTAATATTTAGGGTTTAGGAGCCTTATATAAAGGACTCCATCTAGTTTATTTTACTTAGTTGATATTTGAATGAAATAAGAGATTGTGAATTTTACCGAGAGAGTATTTCGTTTGTTTATCTTTCCCATTCGTACGCTTCCCTACATCAGTTGGTATCAGAGTCAGGTTGATTCGCGATGACGCCGGGATGAGAAGATGCCGCAGACGAACAACGTGACGCAACGATCGGTTTCAACAGATCGACTACCGATTTGAACAATTGGACGTGCGTTTCACGGATTGGTTTGCCGATCTTTCACCGGGGATCGAGGATTTGCATTTGACGCTTAACAACATGGTTGTTTCGGAATTGCAAACGAACCGCGATGGGGCTGTGGGCCGTGGTTTTCGCGGGGGAGACAGAGGCGGCTGTGGGGGACGCAGCCATGTCGGGGCGCCCCGGCAGCGGTCCCCGCCACCTCTGAACGGCATCACGGACGACGACTTTACCTGGTCGGCTATCCCGTTGGCAGATCGACCACCATGACAAGGAGACGAGACCATAGGTCAGCCCCGAGTTCCCAAGCAGCAGCGGGCTGGAGGTAGTTTCGTACATGGCGGCGACCGCGACGATGAGGAAACCATAGGGGCGGTTCGATTTCGCCGCCGACAGCGGCCTGAGGAGGGTTTTCATTTTCAATTCCCGCCCACTCGCGCAACCCTAGATGGCGATTTCCGGCGAACTGCTGCAGACGGAGGGTGTCGCGGAGCTCTAGACGGTGATTTCCGTCGGGCTTCTAAAGGCGAGGACGGCGCGCGGCGGTGGCCGCAGGAGGGGCTTCGCGCCGCTGCCGACGGCGGCGACTTCTTTGTCCACGATTCGGCCGCTAAGGGGTTGTCCACTGCCGAGGACCACGATTGGCGACATCACGCGACCGGCTTTGGCGACAGCGGGGGCCACGAGGCTCGACGGGGACTACCCTGGGCAGAGGTGGTTTTTAGCGGCTCTGGATTTCACGATCGGCGGCGCGCGGCTGCAGGTTTCGCCATTGACGGCGGGCGCGATGGGCGGCGTGGCAACAGGTGGGCACAGGGGTGCTCAATTTTTCGGATTTCACAGAGGAGAGGAACAATTTCAGAGAGCAGAGGATTGGGGCTTGGTACGCGGATTTTGGGCGTGTGTAGGAGATGTGTTATGTCGTGATTTTGGGCCTCAACAGAAGCAGCCCACCCAAGATTTTTGGGCCTATGAAGTAGCTGCGGATATTGGGCTTGTGCAGAATGATTCTGGCCGCAAATTTGGTCAATGGATAGGCCCGTTTCGCACTGACATTCTTGACTTTGATGAGGCTCACGTTGACGGGCCAATGTATGACGGTCCGCCCATTTTTGATGAGGCGCATCCGGTGACGAATACATCTTTTTGTCGCCATATGGATCCGGCGTGGGACATCGCAATTGTTGAGTCTTCGAATGAGACGCCGTCATTCACTCCCCATTTTTTGAGTATTTTGGTCAACGATGGTTTTTCGGAGCCGAAACCGAGGCTTATTAAATGGTTGGCTATTTTCCGTTTATCTATCCCGAAGTCTCCCAACAACGGGATGTTTGGCCCTATTTATGGATTTGAGCGCGACGAACGATGTGGTGTGTTTTGTGTTAATTCGGTTGTGTGGGCTTTGCGTAGGGTGGCGTGTACATGTGACTTTGCAGCAGTTGAGTCCTTGACCGAGTTTATGTTTGCCTTCGAGGTTGTTGGCAGACCTTCATCTTTCGTGTTTGATCGAGGGAAATGTCGGGGTATTCTTGTCATGGAGACGACTCCAACTAGAACGGGTCGGATTCGAGGCCGAATCCTGCTCAACCGGGGGAGAATGGTGTAGAATAGTATTATTATTATTATTAGGATTAATTATTATTAATTATTTTTATTTATTTGGCTTGGTGGGCAAGTTAATATTTAGGGTTTAGGAGTCTTATATAAAGGACTCCATCTAGTTTATTTTACTTAGTTGATATTTGAATGAAATAAGAGATTGTGAATTTTATCGAGAGAGTATCTCGTTTGTTTATCTTTCCTATTCGTACGCTTCCCTACATCAGGTTTCCATGCATGAAACATAATTCCAAAGGGCTAATCTTTCCAATGTAGTCCAAGTTTAGTCTTCCACTTATTTCTCTTTTCTTGTGATGATTTGTGCCGTTATTGTGGTATTTTGATGAAGTTCTTCAGATTCCTATTCAATTTTAATTATTGTTACTTTTAGTTTGTGGTGATACACATGCTGATAACAGACTTACTCTGACTGTTTGTTTAATATAATGAATACCAATATCCTTTTCTTCTTTGTTTTCTCAAAACCAGGAAGTGTTCAATTACAAAATTTCAGTTCGTCCTGATAGACGCCGTAGTTTCGAAAATGAACTTGCTTCTGGAATGGAGATTGCTCTCAGTATCTTAACTGCTTGCTTGAATATAAATGAGCTGACAGAGCAGGTATGTTGGTTACTTGTGATAATTTTATGAAACCTCCAATATCACATTGATTAAGTTAACTGTAAAATTCTTTATTTTCTGAGCTGCCGATTCCGATTGCTTGACTGATACCAATTTGGTAGAATCACTCTGTTTCTGGATTGTTATTCTAGAGGGGCACTACAATAACATCCACTTATATAATTTGACATTTGTTAANAAAAAAAAAAAAAAAGGAATCTGTACTTACATCATAATGTACCCCATACATGTGTTTCTGATGTTGATTCACACCTTATTATATCCCAGAGCTGTTACTGATTTGTGCTGACTTGCCTTTTCCCTTTGCTAAATTAATACACTATTCTATTATGTCAGTTATCTGTTTATAGATACGTCTCAGTTTGTATGTATTTTGGAAGTTTCCTCTTTGATTTGCATTGCATCCTAGTTATGGTTCTATGTTCTTAAAATTGGCAGGTTCTTGAGGCCTTTTCTTCTTGGCTACGACTTAGGCATAGGTATGGTTTTCCTATTGGATTCAAATAATTCTGTGGTTTTATTTCCATTAAATGTCGGCCACCTTTTTCTCTGTCAAAGCAATCAGAAGCAGTTTTGCAGTATATGTAGACTTGGGGGCATGTTTTATACTTTATTGCATTTCCTCTTATAGTTACAACAACAACAACAACAACATAGCCTTTAGTCCCAAGCAAGTCGGGGTAGGCTAGAGATGAAACCCAAGAGAAACACAAAAGACTCGAACCGAAAGGAAGAGATCGAAAAAAAAAAAGAGAGAGAGAGAGAGAAAAAGGAGCAAAAGTCACGGTTCTGGCACGTGGTGTTAATCTGTATATATTTTAAACATCTCGTGGTGTTAGTTAAGATATCCGCATTCACCATGGATACGCATTCTGGCTTCTCTTTCAGAACTGAGATTCTAACATCTGATGAGTTCAGTTAAATGATTTTTAGGGAATCAACCAAAGCATATGAAAAAATGTTGCATCCTCTGGATGCCAGAGGAGTTTTGTGTATCACTTATGGGCTATGTTTGTGCTCCCCACTCTCGGAATGTCATCTTTCTCGATTCATTCTACAAAAATGCAGCTTAGCTTATAACATCTTTACCAGTGTAGCCTTCACCTAATTTACACATCTTCATTACATTCTCCCTAAATATATTTCTCCTAAGAGTTTCCTATAAGCATCCAAAATTCGTCTAGGAGCTCCCTTAGTGTCACCAAATTTGCAATGGGAATGAAGAAAAGTTATTCATTATTTTCATATGGCTAGAATACAACAGTATAGGAAAACTTCATATTTGAATATGCATGCAAATGGCTTAACGAGTTATGATCTCCTGAGAAATCATAAAGCACATACTTTTATTGATAGAGACAAATGGTCTGACCTCTCTCAAACAAAATGAAAAGAATATTTATCACATTTCTCAGAACTAATGAGGAAATCCCTTTCAAAGCTCTGCAATTGTGGTCCCATGATAGGTGGAGTGACTTTGCATGCCTGCTTGGATAGATCCTAATATGCCTCTACAGCTTACCTCTGATTTCATGCTATGTGTTGAGTTTGGTACATGCAAATGTATTGTATAGACTTTCACATGTACCTTAGTAACATTTTATGTGCAGTATTTCTTCATATCACTTTCTTAATTCTTGTTATGGGTTTGTGTACTCATTTTATATTATTTTTTTTTTTTTCAGGATTCCAGCCTCAGCTCTTGCTTCACATCCATTAGTACTTACAGCTCTCTCAAGCTTGGAGAGTGACATTCTTTCTGAGGCATCTGTTAATGGTTCGTGCTGGTGGCATGCTAATCCTTTCTTTATCTCATATATATAACATATCGTAGTGCATTTTCTTTATAATAGGTGTCCTGCAAAGCAACATGCCATTGACTGCTGGCATTATCTTGCTCTTGAGATTTGATTGGAGCAGATAGAATGCTACTTTCTTTTTCCCTTTTCCCCCTTTTTCCTGTAATCCTGTTGACTTGAATATATTTTTTACTGATAACTAGTATTTTTGTGTGCCAATTCATGGGAAATGATTTCTCTAATAAGACAGACTATTTTCATAATTCAAACATTAAAATTTCTATATTGAATAATTACGACAAACAGAAAATGACTGATTCTGTGGATATGGTGTACCCTTCATCATCATTTGGTAGCGCTAAATGAACCATTAAAAGTGCAAAGGCAGCTTATGTAACATATTCTCTTGTTACTAATCTCTCCCTTTCCTCACCATGTTCGTTAACTGTTTATATGCATGCATATTATGCTTTACTGATGTCGTGTCTGTTTGAGAGGGATGCTGTAAATTTTCAAGTTCCTTAATTTTATTCCATGCATTTTTCTGCAGTTATTTCGGAATTAATACACTATACAGCAGTAAGAAACCTTGATGCAGTTGCGTCTCAGATGCCCTTAATTCAAGCAATTGTACCTCGGATTATGAGTCTGAAAGCACAGCTTAGAGATCCTTCCAAGGTATTTATGTTTAGTCTAAAAATCTCTGCGATCTGGCATGATAGAAGTTTGGTTAAATGTTTATGCTTGAGCATGTGATTTCTCCGTATTTTTTTAAATTGTCAAATATGGTTCCCTATTTTTATGTGTTGGGAATTCAGTGTCTCAAACTGTCAATGACAAAGATGTTTGCATGCTGCATAGTTAATTCTCTATGAGCAACTTGAACCTTGTCTTTACATGTTGGTTCGTGCGTCCCTTTTAAATTCTTTTTACACTAATCTTCAACTATATTGCACTTTAGGGGTTTAACTTGTTTATGGGCTGATGATAAATGGGCTTGGAAAGGACTCATCCCCAAAAGCTAGCTCAAAGGTGTAGGTTGACCTACCCACCCCTATACACAAGAAGAGACCAATAACTCATCAATGTGGGGCAAACAAACTTCTAACACCCACTCTCATACGTCGCATGCCAGTCGAAATAGGCCGGTTCCAAACCCAACAATGCCTCTATGGAGACCAACTTGGGTGCTGCGTTTGGGTAGAACTTATTCCCAAAAGTTAGATCAAATACAGAGAGTACCTAATCGACACTTATACACAATAAGAGCCCAGTAACTAATCAATGTGAAACAAATATAACTTTGAACATGGGACTTTCAAGCCAGCAGAATGAAATAATTTGGCAGTAATATTTTATGAAAAATTAGATCTCCATTCTTTCTCTTGGGGTCTCTTTCGAGTAGCCTAAGAGGTCCCTTAAGTTTGTAGAAGCAACATTTAGATCGTAGATTAATCGATAGCATTTTATTTGAATTGATAGGGGAAACAAATGACCTTTACCTTCTGAAAAACAAGAGATAGGCAGCAGTAGAGGACTTGCCAACTGGGAGACTAGACCAGTTTGCTCGACACAGTGGCTTGAGCTTTGTGGGAAGCTGATGTATTATTCATCAGCTGAACAACCTTCTGAAAAAGAGCGCAAGATTCTCTGTTGGGAGTGTTTTAGTCTTTTGGTTTGGTGAAGATGAAGATACCTATACCACCTGAGAAATGCATATAACCTTTTTCCACTATTCCTTAGTTGTCGGCTGACTGTTTTCTCTCAATTGAAAAGCAAGTTTCTCCTTGAAATATGACTCTCTTCTCAAAGCAACCAATGGTTACACCCTCTGCAAAAGTTGCTAACTGCTAACAATTGTCAAGTGTTGTTGTGTGCTGCCCTCTCATCATACTTCCAAGAATCCTTGTGATTGCATATTTCCCTCTCAGAATCTGACATGACACGATGTATCACTTCTTGAGCAATGGTTGGTTAAGAAGCAGGTGATTTCTGTAAAGGATTCTGGATACAGATATCAAGTTAATTGATTGTCAACACAGTACATCGGACTGGTTTGAAAGACCAAAGACGTTACAAATAGTTATAGATTAAACAAACTAGTTTCAAACATGAAAAACATTTTACTTAATTTCTTGTGAGTTTATTACTTTATTTTCTAGAAATGTGAGAGACGTTACAAGATATCTATGTAGTGTCCTTAGGTCTTGGTCCTCCTGAACTGTTGTAATGGTTTCTTTTATTTGACATTTACTTACCCTGATTTGTCCTCCTGAACTATTGTAATAGGTTCTTTCATTTGACATTTACTTACACTGATTTCAGGATGAAGAGGATGTGAAAGCCATTGCTCGCTTATTTGCTGACATGGGAGATGCATATGTTGAACTAATTGCTACAGGTATGAGGCTTCTTATGTTTGTGACCTTCTCTTTTCACTGTTCTTGCTTTTATATTATTCTAAACCTGAAGGTTATTGTTCCCTATGACTGGATATGTGTATAAAACTAGCAGTGCACCACTTGTGTACAAAATAAATTTTGGCTAATGCTTGCTATGTTTACCTACAGGGTTATCTAATGATGGAAATGACTTTTGTTTTCAGGTTCTGACGAATCGATGTTGATTGTGCAATCATTACTTGAAGTTGCTTCACATCCAGAATTTGATATTGCTTCAATGACCTTCAACTTCTGGCATAGCCTTCAAGTTATATTAGTTGAGAGGTGAAGCTACTTTTCCTTTTGACATAAATATGTTGCTTGTTCGACTTATGACTTAGAAATTTTCAATGGATCAGGGGTTCTTATGTAGCATATGGTGGTGGAGCATCTGTTGAAGCTGAGAAATCTCGTCAATTGCAGGTTTTTCGTCCATCATATGAATCACTTGTTTCCTTGGTGAGGCTTTCCTCTTCTTCTTCTTTTTTTTTTTTTNCTTCCTCGAAAGGGTTTCAATGCCCATGCTAAGTGCAAAAAAGATTTGCACACTTTTATTTTTGGTGCTACCTAGAATTTGATATTTAAGTCTTGATTTATTTACTCAGGTTAGCATCAAAGTTCAATATCCCCAGGATTTTGCCGATCTTTCAAGGGAGGATCAGAAAGATTTCAAGCAGACTAGATATGGTAAAATATTCATCTGTTAATTGTTGTTTCAAGGAATGTTGCAAGTGCACTTTTTGGCTGCATAACTATGCTTTCTCTCTCATTATTGGCAACATAAAAATCTTATGCCTTCAATAAATTGTACCCATCTATTCGGGGCAGATTATTATATGATCATTGCTATTGATTTCTGACAAGATACATTATGCTGGCAGCTGTTGCAGATGTCCTTATTGATGCAGCTCTAGTTTTAGGTGGTGATTTTGCTCTAAGAATTCTTTACATCAAGCTTATTGAGGTGGGTGTTTATGTCTTTGATCCTATGGAATTTCTTCATCTATCAACTATTGCATCAAAAGGTTATTAGTGAATTACTAATGGTGAAGTTAAAATATTTTTAATTTCTTGAAACCTGTCGTTCTAGAATCCTTCATTCTTCTTGTTGTTGAAATTTATGGAGAGATAACAGGGTAGGTAGTAGTGATTGTGAGATATCAGACATCAGATCTTGTACATTTATAAGGCAGAGAAACGGAGGTTTTAGTGGGTCTTCAATTTCACTTGATTGCCCGTCCGGATTGTATTTTTCCACTTAAACTAGGAGATTCTTAAGAACCTTATGTTAAAGAAATAACTCAGTTCAAAAGAAATAACTCAGTTCAAAGTCATTCAGTTCCAGAATATTGCTTTAAAGAATTGAAGTAATATTTATTTCGGCTTGGTGAGATAAACACACTTTTGGCTGGTTAAAACTCTCTTCTTCCTCACTTCCAGTCATAGTGGAGGGAAGTTCAAATTTTGCTTCTTTTGTATATTTTTTCAACTGTAGAGGAAATCAATGATTATAGTACCCTTTGTGGCTTCCTTGCACTACTTGCTTTTTTTTTTTTTNCCTGTGGCAATGTATTTATCATGTTACCCAAGAGTGGTTTGCATCCCCTTGTTTTGTTGGTTTATGAAATTGCATCCATGTTCTATTTATCTTCTTTTGCATGGAAGGATAGGCTGTTAGTAATGGTGGACATGGCCAGCAGACTGATTGGCGTCCAGCAGAAGCTGCTCTGTATAGCATCCGGGCAATATCAGATTATGTGTCTTCTACTACTGATGGAGATGTGATGCCACAGGTTCGAACATCCTCAAATCTTCCAGGCAACAACACTGTAGTGCCAACTAGCATTTTTCCAGGGATTTTTCCTTTTTTTTTTGTTTCTTGTCTAAAACAAATCTAGATCTTTGAGTTATTACTTATGCAAGAGCTGTCTTATTTTTTTAGTTATATACAGCATTGTAAATTCAATAAAACCCTTAAAGCGTGTATTATTTCATCAGATCATGTCTTTGCTTCCGAAACTTCCTCATCAACCGCAGCTGCTACAGACAGGTATTGGTTATCTATGTTGAAAATCCATACAGGCCCTTATCTTCTTCTCAGCAGACAATTGTTCTCTATTCGCAGGGTGTTGTGTTTGATTCATTTTCTTAAATTATGAAAACTATGTGTCATCGTGGCTTTGTTTCTCATTCTGTAGTGTGCTTGGTCATTGGAGCGTATTCAAAATGGCTCGATGGAGCACCAAGTGGAATTTCATTCTTGCCACCACTCATAGACATTCTTGTTAGCGGCATGAGTATATCAGAGGACAGTGCAGCAGCAGCTGCTGTGGCATTTCGGCATATTTGTGATGGTATTATCTGTTTCTCGCAGCTTAGCCTCTCATGTTCTTATACTCTGAATGATTGGAAAGCCTTTTTCTGATAAAAAAGTAATATCTGTCAAACTAAAAATTATGAGGTTCCTCAATTCATGTTTCAGGGTCCTTTATGTTGTGTTTCTGGTGTCATAATCTTCTCTTCATATCAGCAGTGATCTTTGCTCATTCCAATTATTCAACTCATTGAACTAATGTGGGTTGGAGTTTTCTCTACACGATTCTAATAATGTTTATGCAACTCTGAAGAACGTAGTTGTGGTATATAGTAGTAATGTATTTGAGACTACCAAACAGCATGATTTTGAGATTTTTATAGGCGAAGAAGTTAAATAGGACTGCATTTTTAAAACAAATTAAGCTTATTTAGGTATATCAGTCTCAATGCATTTTGTGCAAATTTATTTATTTTTTCCACGTGGAGACCCTGTTCAGCTCCTGTAATTGGCTGCCATTTGCAATAGTTGTACTTCGATTTAAGCACTAAATTATTTTAAATCTTGACTCATGTTATATATAATTTATTTTTTGTAGACTGCAAGAAAAAGTTATGTGGATCGTTGGATGGTCTATTTCAAATATACCAAAGGGTGGTAACTGGAGAAGGTCCTTTCAAGATTTCTGCTGAAGACTCGTTGCACGTGGTCGAGGCTCTAAGGTAGTCTTAATTTCTAAATACTAAAGAACTTGCTGAAAATACGATTTTAAATTGACTTGTTGAAAAACTTTGGGTGCACAGTATGGTCATCACGGAACTTCCTTCAGAACATGCTAAGAAGGCCCTAGAGGCATTATGCCTGCCTGCTGTTGCTCCTTTACAGGTTCGTATTCCTATTTATGAGCATTTTGACTTAGCTTTTTTCGGGTCAAAGTAATTATTTTGTGTTGTCAATCAACAGGACATCATTAGTCAAGGTCCTTTAGTGCTGGGGCAGAGACCTGCTCGTGATCTCACTGTTCATATAGATAGACTAGCAAATATATTCAGGTAACTAGTGATTATTGATTTCGTTTTATCTGTTTGTATCAAGCCTCGTTTTATTCTAAATGAAAGCAACTGTGTAATTGTAACATTGTCAGACATGTAAATCATCCAGAAGCTGTTGCCGATGCTGTTCAAAGGCTTTGGCCAATCTTCAAAGCAATCTTTGATATGTCAGTGCTAGATTTGCTTCTTAATATATATTTCGCTTATTTTTTGTTAGATAGTTGGCCGTAAATAATTCTAGCTAAAATACTTTTGCTGCAGTCGTTCTTGGGACATGCGGACAATGGAGTCTCTGTGCCGAGCATGCAAAAATGCTGTAAGTTACTGAACAATGTTGGAGGTTTTGTGTTGATTATACGTGTGGTTGTATCAGATTTTGCTTCTACCATACAATATTATTTTGGACCAGGATCGACATTATAAAGTGCACCTGACCAGCAAAGATAGATACATTACATAAAAATATATATCAATATATAGGTGCATTATACTGGGAATATACTGGGTATGTTGTTGTTGTTGTTGTATATGGGTGCATTATATATCAGTCAAGTCATGCATATCAATAGCAATTATGAGTTGCATTACCTAACTGATAATGTACATCAGTGCACCTATACATTACATAATTAAATATGTACAGATCAGTATTTTGGTATATTGCATAATGACTAAAGAATGTTCTTCTATTTTGTTTATTTGTAGGATAATCGCAAAATCTACCCGACATTTACCGTAACAATTAGGAATGCCATTTCTCTGTGAAAATTATGAATATTTCCTTACATTGCTATTGGCACAATCTTGAGTTTGTATGTCGAACAAACATCCTCTTGTGGATGCAGTTTGTAAAAGGGGATTATTTGTTGAGATGACATTTGCAATTTTAGATGATAACTGGATTGATTTTATTTAGTCTTAAACTTCATATGGAATTTTTTGTGACTACCGACTAACTTTCATATATATGCTAATGCACAGCCACTTAGTGAACTATCCACACTGAAGAAGTTATGCCGTAACTAAAAGGCCCTTACTAATTTTGGATGCTTATGCAGTTTTTTTTTTTTTTTTTTTGATAAATATTGTCATTTTTTCAGGTGAGGACCTCTAAGTCACTTATGGGAGTTACAGTTGGTGTAATGCTTGAGGAGATACAAATCTTGTACAAGCAGCATCAGCAGCCTTGTTTTCTATATCTCTCTAGTGAAGTTATTAAGGTTGTTATTTGATGCTTTTTACTGAATGTATTATTAATTTGTTTACATGAGCCATAACTGGAAACAAACATCTTGTGTAGATATTTGGGTCAGATCCATCTTGTACAAATTACTTGAAACTCCTGATTGAATCTCTCTTCAGCCACACAACAATTATGCTTGCAAAGATCCAGGTGCAGTGTTAAATTTAAAGTTTTAAAAATCTAATTTTTCTTTTTTTTTAAAAAAAAAATTATTGCTATGCTGATACGATTCCCTCTCTCTCAGGACTTTGTTTCGCGGCCAGACTTGGTAGATGATTGCTTTTTGTTAGCATCGAGGTGTATACGGTATTGCCCTCAATTATTCTTCCCATCTCCCGTGTTTCCTTGTTTAGTCGACTGTTCAATGATCGGCATCACTGTACAGCACAGGTTCTCTCTCTCTCTCTCTCTCTCTCTCTCTATCTCTCTATCTCTCTCTCACACACACACAGGCACACGCACACATCCCAAGGAACTAAGTTGCAATCATTTTCACTGCAGGGAAGCCTCGAATTCCATATTGAATTTCTTGTCGGACGTTTTTGATATTGCAAACTCTAGTCAAGGAAAACCTTACACGTCTATACGTGACAACGTGATCTTCCCAAGAGGCGCTGCAATCACCAGAATTCTTGTGGCTGCCATCACAGGAGCACTCCCGAGTTCGCGATTAGAAACGGTTAGCTTGAGGGTTTTTTATATCCAAGCAAAAGGGTTTTTTTATTCATCCTTATTTTAAATTACCTTTAAGGTTGTTGTGTTTTAATCTCTGCTGCTAACATTCTTTAGGTAACATATGCACTGTTAGCTCTAACACGAGCCTATGGTGTAAAAGCTTTAGAGTGGGCAAAAGAGAGTATCTCCTTAATTCCACCAAATGCCATAACAGACATTGAAAGGTCAAAATTTTTGCAAGCTTTAGCCGATGCTGCCTCAGGTGCAGCCATAAATGGCATAATGATCCCTATTGAAGAATTGTCTGAGGTTTGCAGACGAAATAGATCAGTACAGGAAATTGTTCAAGGAACTTTGAGGCCACTCGAGCTGAATTGACTCCCCGTTTCATA